CCCCCCCCCCCCCCCCCCCCCCCCCCCCCCCCCCCCCCCTTCGAGGCCCAGTGCCCTTGTTGGCACACCGCCTCATGTCCACCCCCTTTGGCGCTTAGTCTCTTCACTGGCACATTGCCCGATATCTGGCTCTGATACCATTAGTAACGGCACAAGCCCACTGCTAGCAAATATTGTCCTTTTTGGGCTTCCCCTCAATGTTTTTTAAAACGCGTCTGCTAGGAAGAGGTTTCAACAACCTTATAAAGAATGATTCGTTCTCCTTCCCAACCAATGTGGGATCTGATACCATTTGTAATGACACAAGCCCACTGCTGGCAGATATTGTCCTTTTTGGGCTTCCCCTCAAGGTTTTTTAAAACGCGTATGCTAGGAAAAGATTTCCACACCCTTATAGAGAATGTTTCATTCTCCTCCCTAACCAATGTGGGATCTCACACCTGCTTAAGTTTCAATATTATAAACCTGACAAAATTTGTGTTACTAACGATCAATTAAATAACAGAACAAGCGAGAGGAATAAGAAAATCATGAAGGACTGCATCTTCCTGAATACGATGTGTACTTACTTTCAACAGTTACTTTATAGCAATTGAGTTATTATTATTCCTAAATGTAATAATATCTTCCTGAAAACTTACTGATCCAGATATGACATCGATCCCTGCATTGCAATCTTCCTTGTGATGCTCAGCCCGGAGCTGTGCAACCAAGTCGGCACTATCCAACCCAGCATTATCAGCAATGATTGTTGGAATAGCCTGTAAAGCCCGTGAAAACGCTTCAATAGCATGCGATTTCTTCCCAGGGGTCTTCCTAGCTAACTCATCCACTTTCTTTGACATAATCATCTCGGGCCATCCGCCTCCAAGAAGGACCCTGCTGTCATTGACTGTCTGAGACAATACACACAAGGCATCGTGCAGAGACCTTTCAGCCTCATCAAGGACGTGATGGCTGGCAAAGAACAAAAACACGACATAGCACCATCAAAACATATAACATTGAAAATGAAACAGCTTCAAGACAAGAACGTATGTAAATATGACCACTAATAATCACCCTAAAATGAGAAATAAAATCTATCGGTTTTTTAAAAATACCTTGCACCCCTCAGCACAATTGTACAAGCCTGACCCATTCCCACACCTGAAAAATGGATCAGTTTGTCCTCGCCAATCATAATCTCCTCAATCAACTTGCAATGTCCAAGTTTCACAGATTCGGGATTGTCAAAAGTTGAAGCAATTTCACCACCAGTTACTAAAGCCAGACGCTCTATGCCATCAAAATCAGCATGCTCAATGGCGAGTATTCCAGCATCTGCAAATAGTTCCTCTGGGAAATTGTAGATCAACTGCCTATTAACAAAGCAGTTGATTCCATGACCAATTATCTTCTTTACCTTCTCTCGCATTTTTTCCTTTTCAGCACCCTCGATCTCAGCAACTCTTGACATTGAATCAACACGAACTCGGGCACCATAAATCTTAACTTTGTCAGTGTCCATAGCAGTATTTGCCACTAAAATTTTGGCATTCTCTATGCGTTTCGGTTGGCCAATACCAATTTTCTTGTCAAGAATAAACCTGCTCAGAAAATACAATCTCGTATTTTAAACATCAATAACTTTCCAAAGAGGACAAAAAATATTTGTAAATGTAGCAAGTATGCTTGTATAACAAGAGCATTTTTCATAAAAAAAAAAAAACATTCCTGAATTGTGACGATTTAAATAATTAGATTACTTGATGAAATAGTTTTCGAATGATCCTCCAGGTTTCTTAAGAATTTGCAACACAAGATGCAACAAATATGCATTAGCTTCAAACTTGTTATAATACAAAAAACAAAAACCTACCCTTCATCTAAAAAGGAATCCTTCAATGATCCTCCAGGTTTCTTGATAATTTGAATCGACTCTAAGTTTGTGCTCCCCTGCAATTTTAACAAGGTAAAAATCAAATAGAACACACATCCAAAGGTGTGGAATATTAGACACACCAACACAACATGGAGACAGATACACATCATTTAAAATGTCCTTCCCTCTCTCTCGGACACACACATGAACATAGAATTTATTAGGACGAGGAACAGTACCCATCAAATAGCAGGCAGTAAACATCATGATATTTCAACTTGCAATCAAACTTGTTCATACATAATTCTAACCCAAAGCCCAACATATAGATAAGAGTGAGCATTCACCTTTAGCCTCATTACAGCATCTACTGCCAATTGAGCAAAATGCTCTTTGTCTTGTGATAGAATTTTGGAACAAAGAGTAGTCATTGCAATCTTCAACAAGTCTGATTTAAATTTCGCTGAAAAAGGGCAACCGCACAACTTCCGATTACACAGTTCTACTATCGTAAAAGATTTGAAACTTATATTTAAATCTGTGTAAAAAAATATATTTAACAGTCTCATGCAAGATAAGGAGAGGCTAAAATGATAGGAAGAAATGGGCATATTACCTAAATCTGCTTTATTATCCACCACTTTCCCTAGTAAAGCATTACGAGCACATTCTGCAGCCATTCTGTAACCTGAAAGTTTCAAATGAACCATGACAAGCTTTATCAACTTCTACACATCACAAAGGTAGAAAGTACCAGGAAAAAAAAAACAAAATAATCAATCTAGTTTCCACAGAACGAAAAAGGGGAGAAAGAGAAAGGAGGTGATGTCCTGCATGCATACACACACACATAGAGACGAGACATAATCATTAGAGAGATATTCCATTAAGACAACATGATGCTGAGATTTTTGTACAATAGCATAACACGAGCATACATCACAATATTCAATCTTCAAAAGGGAAGGAGTTCCAAATTCAAACTTCATAAAAATAAAAATAAAAATAAAAATGTGGACGGCAAAACCACCCTACTTTTGCCATTAGAGTCGGGAATACCCTATTTCTGCAAGTCCCCCGGGAAGATTTAATTGGGAGTGAGCATGGAAAAGAGAAAAACAGAAAGAGTGGGTCAACTCATGCAACGAGGAGAAAAAAAAAGGAGAACAATGGTCCAGGCTTTAAGCTTAATATTTATGTCTTTTCATGCATCCAAAACTAGAACTGCTATTGAAAGATAAAGGCACAATTACCATCCTAACGGATCCCCACCTATACTAGAAAAACAAAATAACATGTTCTCACCTTGCAAAACACGGCCACAACATACAACTCATACTTTGAATGTCTATATAGTAATGTAAATATTAAAATAGTAAGAAACAAACCTTCTATAATTGTCATTGGGTGAATCTTTGAAGCAACCAACTTTTCTGCTTCCTTTAAAAGTTCTCCAGCCAAAACAACAACTGAGGTTGTGCCGTCACCCACTTCATCATCTTGAACTTTTGAAATATCTTAACCTTGTAGTTAAAGATTCTCCATTTAAAGCCATAAAAAGGGCACAACTTCGAGTAAAATAAATGAAGCATCCATAAATAGAATTATACGACCTTGTGCAACAATAGTAGTGAAGAAATTTCTTCGAGTATAAACACGTTAAACACTAAAAAAAGGATACCGACAAGAACTTTGGCAGCCGGGTTATCGATGTGGAGGGATTTTAAAATGGTGGCACCATCATTGGTGACAGTGACTTGCCGTCCTCTGCCAGTAGATTGGAGAATTTTATCCTGGAAGGTATTATATGCACAGTCATGGAATAGTCTAAAGATAAGAAATAAAGACCACAAATTGTCACGTTAATGTAAGTTTATATTTCTTCCCCTGTAGGACTGAACGATTAGGGGAGGATCTATTTTGTGGTTTCTCAATCTCTACTCAAAGTAAAGGAGTGGAACTTACCATCCCCTTTGGTCCTAATGTTGTCTTAACCAAATCAGCAATCGCCATAGCGCCAATGAATGATGCCTATAAAAATGATCAAAAGAAATTAAACATCGTAACGGGAAAAGGGTTTATAGAACAAAATTTGAAAAACTTACCATTCTAGCACGCTCTCCCTTCTCTTCGCTCGCTTCATCTTTCAGAAGTTTATCGACCTAAAAATTTCAAAATTCATGTAACCAGAAAAAGAACGATAACATACTTAATGAGCAATGAAAAGTAAGATCAAAATGTAGTCTCTAGGAACTAACTTACCGCCATGGAAATGATGAAAACTGAGACCTAGCTGTAGAATGAAGTACACCGCTCAGTCAATTAAACGATATCGAAATGGAGTATATGCAGAGCCAATGAAAAATGGGAAACAGATTTAAACAAAGACAACAAAACCCTAACCCTAAGGTCATTAAACCCTGAGATCTTACCGGATAAAATTGTTAGGAGAAAACTCAACAAACAACGAGTGATTCAAGTGTGGACCTCGACGAAAGAATGCTTGCGATAGAATACAGGGGCGGCGCCGTCGCAGTTGCAGCAGAGATGGAGAAGAATGAGTCGGGTGGGCCGGTGAAGATGCTTATGGTTCGCTACGGTGGCCTGGAAGGGAGAAAAATGGAGGACAGTGAAGAGGTGGGGGAAGGTCACTGGACAGGACTAGGGCTTTTTATTGGCTTCTTTATTGTTTACTTACCTTCAATAAGTGTGTATTTGAAAATAATATTTGTAATATTTAAAATTGAAAAAATGTGTTGTAATATTGATTTTTTTATTATTATTATTATTATTATTCTTATTTTTTTTTACAAAATATAGTTAAACATTTTAATTATATTACGGCAAATATTGTCTCCGTTACGCATCGATGGCAATCTCACGATTTTAAAAAGCGTCTACTATGAAAAGTTTTCACACTCTTGTAACTAATGTTTTGTTTCTCTCTCCATTTAATGTGGGATCTTACAATTTACCCCCTTTGGAGGCAACACCCTCTCTAGCACACCGTTTGGTGTCGGGCTTTAATACTATTTATCCAAAGCAACCGCTAGCAGATATTGTCCGTTTTTGCTCGTTATGTATCACCGTTTAGCCTCAAGATTTCTACACCTTTATAAGAATGTTTTGTTTCTCTCTTCAATCGATTTCAGATAATACGTGCTCAATCCCTACAAAATTCAATGAGAAATTTTATGCAAAGAGAATGAAAAGAGGGGTCGAGACAGTGACAGAGTTGGATACAACATTCCGTAACTCGACTTTTGAAAATATCTCAAAATGGGATTACACGATAGAATTACATATTTGGGAGTGAAATGTACGATTGGTTCTATATCCATACTTGTCATAACCTACAATATAATTGAATAAGAGATCATACCTTCCTGGTTAGTTGTGAATACTCAGTTTACAACAAATCCATTCTTTTGCTGCTTTTACCAATAATCCATACACGAGCAATGACCATCTCGAAAATGATGGAATCGATATCGATCTTGCACTAATATATCTTGGTTGTAAACTCTAGATATGAGCTTGGCGACTTCATGACAGTCTCCACAAATCCGAAGATTCTTCACAACTCGAATTGGTTGAGATGGAGCTAAACTAATAAGCCCGAACGCGATGGCTAACTTCTCGCTGTGGAGGCTCAAGGCATGTTCCTTGACGTCGTCCTCTTCAATCAGCTGGAGAAGATGGGATTTGTTTGGTTCGTACCCAACTGATTTGAGTTTTGCTGCAATCTCGTCCAGCTTCGAGTAGATGTCCCGGGATAACGGGTGGGAATTATCGCCAACTAGAAACTCGTGGACAATGCCGTTGACTTCTACCGAGCTACAACCTGGTTCCTTTTTCAGTTCAGAATCTCTCATTAGTTTCCTCAACTCAGAAACCTTATCCCATCTTCCTGTTTTGGCGTATACGTTTGATAAAAGTACAATAGCACCATGATTCCTAGGCTCCAACTTGAGCAATTGGTCACTAGCCAACTCTGCAAGCTCAACATTCATATGAAGGCTGCAGGCACCAAGCAAAGCACCCCAAACAGAGGCGCTTGGAGTTGTAGGCATTTCATTGATCAACTCCATAGCTTCTTCAAGAAACCCGGCACGGCCAAGAATATCAACCATACAAGCATAGTGTTTCGCTCCTGGCACAACCCCATAAACTGGCTCCATTTCATGGAAAAGTGCTCGTCCCTCGTCCACTAATCCAGCATGGCTGCAGGCACACAGTACATTCATAAACGTCACATCATTCGGCTTCACCTTAGCTTCCTGCATTTTGAATAACAGTTCGATCGCCGCCTTCCCACGGCCATGCATTCCCAAGCCAGCAATCATGGCACTCCAAACATACACATCTTTCTCCTCCACTGCATAGAACACCTCAAGAGCTTTCTCCAAAGCACCACATTTAGCATACATGTCTATAAGAGAAGTAATTAAATGACCGTTTAGATTTATCCCTTCCCTCTTTATGTACACATGAATCCACCCACCCAAATCAATTGTCCCCAATTGAGCACAGGCTGACAGAGAACTGACCAGAGTGACTTCATCGGGCTTGGCAATCTTACTAAGCTGCAGCTCATTAAAAGTGGCCAAAGCCTCCTTAGGCTTACCATTTCGTTCATAAGCAGATATGAGAGCATTCCAAGCAGCAATTTCTTTCACAGGCATTTCATCAAACACCTTCCGAGCAGCATTGAAATCGCCCATTTTCGCATACCCATCAAGCATGGTAGTCCAAGAGAAGACATCTCTTTCAGGCATTTCGTCGAACAGCTTCTCTGCATCGCCAATGCTTCCACATTTAGCATACATGTCGAGCATGGCGTTACACAGAGTTAAATCCACTCTAATTTCTTTCCTTTCAATGTACGAACAAACCCACCTCCCAAACTCCAAATCCAACTTCTTCGCACAAGCAGATAAAACACCCACCATTGTTACAGAGTTGGGCATCACATTCGCCCCCTCCATTTTCAAGAACAACTCCAATGCATCTTCTGGACAATTCCCCTGAGCAAAAGCCGAGATCATCGAATTCCAAGACACCACGTCTTTGCAAGAAATACCCTCAAACAATCGCTCAGCCATATTCAAATCCCCACACGCCCCATAGAATCGCACAAGCGAATTAAGAATATACTGATCCATACCAAGCGACAACTTAATCGCCATTCCATGAACAGCTCTGCCGACCCGCGACGCTTTTAGCTCCGAAGCGGCCTTGATGACAAATGGGAAAGTGAAATTGTTGGGCAAATCATCATATTCATCAAGCAAAGCCAGAAATATCATGAAACTCTGAAAAGGGTCGGGGCTGGAAGCGTAAGCTCGAATGAGGGTGTTCCAAGTGTAGAGATTTGGATGGGGAATTTGGTCGAACATATCACGGGCATACTCGAGAGTGGAGGAGGACTTAAGAGCAGAGGCTGCGATGAGCTTGCTGGCGGAGAAGGGGTCGAAGAAGAGGCCGGTACGGAGCATCTGAGCGTGAACTTGCTTCAATTGCTTGCCACTTGAACATTGATCGATTGTTGAGAGAATTTGGTGGTTTCTGAAATGAAGATTGTTGTTTGCGATTGAGCGATTCGGGAGAGAAATCAGTGGAGCGCTTAGAGTTTCCATAGCCCATTAACGAAACCAATGAGCCGCTTTTTCACTCTAGTCGTTTAAAACTCTCTAGATACATAAACATTAATAAACAACCCGATAATATATTATTGTTTGGAATAAAATGTTGGGTTTTTTTTTCTAATTTTATTTCTTTTCATTTTATTATTGAGATATATTTTTATTTTATTATTGAGATATATTTTTATTATATTGTGAGAAAATAGTTGCGAGTGTTCAACTCTCATTGTTTCTCTTTATAAGCTTCCAATTTTATTTATCTTCATCTTATTATTTTTATTATATTGTGCTCAACTAATATTTTAGAGAGGTGTAGTGTGTTATTTAAAAATTTCAATACTTATAACGATTTAATCTTGTGTCGTGGAAATTATTGAATTTACTCTTGAACTCGTAAAAAGAACGATGTAACGATTGTGCTCTGATCCGAGGCAAATGTCAATAAAATTTTTTATTCAAATTATCGTCGTAGAGTAAAATATGTCGAAGTTGGTTATATTTTCTATTTAATTTTTCTAATGCATGTTATGAGTTTTTCATAAATTTTTTATATTTTCACTCACATTTATTTTATAAATTTAGTTCGCAAAATTTATAAATTTGTATTATATGGTCGAGTATAATATTTTTTTGAGTATTTAATAAATTATTAAAATTTAAAATTTATATAAAATAATTATTTGACATATTAAAAAAATTAAATTTAAATGTTTTATTAAAGATATAATAAACTGAAATTTGGCATTTAATCTGACGTTAAATGGAGAAAGAACGATTCTCTAGGCATCATCCCAATCCCACATTTTCCCGATGGTTTTCTCGGGATCCAAACAAATCCAAAATAATAAAAAAAATAATAAATAAGTGGGCCCTTAACTAAGCCCGCGAAACCACAGTCCCATATATATTCATGCAACGATCCCTTCTCCCTCATTGCATCTCCCATTAGGGTTTCCTTTTCCGGCGAAATCGTAAGAATCCTCTCTGAGAATCTCTCCCCCGTTTGCCGCCATGGTTCTCAAGCCCACCAGAGCTCAAAAGAAGACGCAGTACGACAATAAACTCTGCCGCCTCCTGGAAGAGTACTCACATGTCCTCATCGTCGGCGCCGACAATGTTGGCTCCAATCAGCTTCAGAGTATTCGCAAGGGTCTTCGAGGAGATTCCATTATCCTCATGGGTAAGAACACTATGATGAAACGCTCCATCAGAATCCATTCTGAAAAGACTGGTAATTCCGCCGTCATGAACCTCCTCCCCCAACTTGTGGTACGGATTCCAAATCTCTCTAACTCGATTTTGATTTTGATTTTGTCTCTTGTTGATTTGAACGAGCTTTCTTCGATCGATGTTTAGGGAAACGTGGGTTTGATCTTCACTAAAGGCGATTTGAAGGAAGTGAAGGAAGAGGTCGCCAAGTACAAGGTATTGTGTTTGGATTTTATTTTATTTCATTGTCCACTTTCTGCTCTGTGCTGTGATTTCCATGCCGGCTTTTAACCATGCATTGCCTAATGCTAGATTTGTAGTTTCCTTAAAAGTTATGTGCACTATTATGAGCTATTATTGTTCTCATAGAGAGTTATCAATATAAATAGAATCTATTGGTAATTAGTTCGCGATAGTAACTTTATAATGGTTTGTTTATAGAACTGAATTGATCATTGAGAAATGCAGAAGACTAGAAGGAAACTGTATAATAGTCTAATGAAACTGCATAGCCCATACGTTCTGAAAGTCTAATGAAATTGCATATCAAATGTAAGATGCCTTCAGTCCACGGTTCTGAAAAGTTTGGTTGTGTTGGAATGTTTGCAAGCAGTTTGTTCTATCAATTCATCCATTAGTTGGTTTCAAATTTGTTCTTTAGAACCCCAATGTGGCGGCAACCTTGAATAATTTATCCGCGTACTTGCCATATTTGTACAAGTTTTATATATGGTATGCATTTATGGAAACAGGTGGGAGCCCCAGCCCGTGTTGGCCTTATTGCACCGATTGACGTGATTGTTCCTCCAGGAAACACTGGACTCGATCCTTCCCAGACATCTTTCTTTCAGGTTTCTTATGAACTAGTTACCTCAATTTTAAACCGTTCAATTTGGAAAAGGGTCTCAACTTAAAAGTTGAATGATCTCAGGTGCTGAACATCCCAACAAAGATTAACAAAGGCACAGTGGAAATCATCACTCCTGTGGAGCTAATCAAGAAAGGAGACAAAGTCGGTTCATCCGAGGCTGCGCTCCTCTCTAAGCTTGGGATTAGACCCTTCTCTTACGGTCTAATTGTTGTCTCTGTCTATGACAATGGCTCTGTTTTCGACCCAGAGGTGCTTGATCTTACAGAGGAAGATCTTCTTGAGAAATTCCTTTCTGGGGTTTCCATGGTTGCCTCTTTGTCTCTCGCTGTGTCTTTCCCAACTCTTGCAGCTGCTCCCCACATGCTCATCAATGCGTATAAGAATCTTCTCGCTGTTGCTGTCGCCACTGAATATTCGTTCCCACAAGCTGATGAAGTCAAAGAATTCTTGAAGGTTCGTAAGCCTTCAGCTTTCTTAAACTCCTTAATATATCAAATACGTAAATGCTTAGATATAGTTCTATTTAGATTCAGTTTTGGGTTGATAAAAGTTTTATTTTGATCTTTTTAATTTCTTTCTATATTAGACCTTATAAGTTCCTACTAACCTTTTCAAATGGCATATTTTTAGTGGGATCCACTTACCTTAGGCATTTTAGCAGGATTCCTTTATTCATTAGATGCAGTAGAAATGAACTGGAAAGAAAGCATATAGAAAACACAATGGTATGACTTATTTGGTATGGTGGACAAATGGTAGGATCCAAGCAAGTTTGCAGCTGCAGCAGCTCCTGCTGCAGGCGACGAGTCTGGAGGCGCCCCAGCAGCTGCTGCCCCCGCTGAGGAAGAAAAGGCGGCAGAACCAGAGGAGGAGTCCGACGGGGATATGATCATGGGCCTGTTTGATTGAGTTCATTCACAAGCGTTAAGAAAATTGTTTTAACCCATCTAGTTTCGTGTTTTTTGATTTTATATGCTCGGAGACATTTTCAGTTGGTTTGTGAAATTTGTGGTGAGGATTTGGTGGTTTTTATTTGTTCATCTTGAGCTTGAACCACACATTTTGTCATGATTGGTACGTGTTGTGCTCAACCCTGTCTAAGTCTTTGCGACCACAAAAATAGTTCATGCAAGCTCTTTTATATATATATATATATATACATGCATACATATATATATATATGAAGGAAAGGAAATTCCTTTTTAAGAAAGTGTGTAAGTATTGTTTTTCATTTTAAAAAGAAAAAACATAATAATAATAAAACAAAAAGACAGATAAAAAGAAGTATGTGAGGCCTGAAAAAACATGAATAATTGATATCGTCTATTTTTCGTTTTTGTTCCCCACTTCTTCCTCCTCTTTACTTCACCATTTCTTCATATAAATCACATTCTTGTGTGCTCTTATTAGGCAATCACCCTAATAAGATCAATGCTAAATCGACACATCATTATATCTCTAAATGTACATTATTATTTTTTCTAGTTTAGATCTTTGTACGTGTTTGTTTTGAGTTTATTTATTTATGATTAAATACAAATTTAATTCAAAGTTGTTCAATTATTTTTATTTATGTTATTTGTCCCCACCACTTTGCCCTTACAAAGGGCAATGGCTTCGGATATTTTCATTTTGGAGGCTAATGTTCCCTTACATTTTTTCAATCTTTGTTCAACTATTTCCAATTTTTTTAAATAAATATAATTTCAAGATTTTTTCGTTAGAATATGTAATTCAAATCTAATTTAATTATGTGTTTATATAACATTTTTTTTTAAGGTTTAGGGTTCTGTTTAAATGGATGGTTTTTTTTTTAATTTTTTTAATTATAAATTTATATGTTTAGTTTTCAAAATCTTATTTTAATTTTGACAAAAAAAAAAAAAAAAAAAAAAAAA